TGTGGGCAGGCAACCTTGCTGGCAGCACTGATTAGAAGGGACTGCAAACAAGGTGCTGCCCAGCCCTAGCTGATAGGAAAGGTTTTCTTTGAAAAAGGTGGGTTTCAGTTTTGTTTCCAGGTTAGGTACCTCCTTTTACTGCAATGAGTAGCTAGGCAAGACACTCATATGCAGAAAGCCAAGAAGCTACCACCAGCTCAGCATCACCCTCTTGCTAAAGAAAAGGCAGAGAGGACTGGAACATTGGTGGCCAAGTGACACAACCAGTGGCCAGGTGACATACTGCCAGCAGATTGATTTCAGCCATCTGGCTGCAGCACATGAACTGGTCAAGCTAATACTTAACATTTACCTTCCAATGCCTTATGTAAAAAAAGTCAGCTTTTAAGTATGACATTTTTTAGAGGACATGCTTCTTTTACACTATGAATTAACTAACTATTCTGAGCAGATGTACACCATACGTTCAAATGTAAACTAGTTGTGAAGATATATTAGCTTAGGGCTTTATTGTTTTCTGCATACTCCAACTCTTCAGCTTCATATATTTCATTCTTCTGTTGTGTTGAGATTCTAACAGACAAGGCAACCCATGCTCCTCAGGATCTGGTGGCACAAGGTTGGAACCTCAGATGGAGCATTCACTGCCACAAGAATGATGCCAAACTGAGAACAAGTTTAAATTTCTATGGCAAAGATGCTGCTTATGTATTTACTACACATTGAAGGAATGTAATTCTTAACTCCCATTTGAACTCAGGTGTTTGTGTCAAGTGAACCTGGACACCAGCTCACCACTGAGGATATTACAAACAGAACCTGCTCTGGAAAAGTCTGGAGAAAGGTGTTTCCAGCCATTTTGCAACGTCACTTCAAATTCACATGCTACAGAGCAACTTACCCTTACAAAACATAGCTAGGCCTTCATCTGCATTGCATGAAGTAGAAAAAGAAAAAAAGCACCCCACACTCTTGGCAGCCTGGCCTTCTCCAAGTCTCTGGCTTGAATTCCTGCAGATTTTCTGTGCGACTTTCTTTGATATCTTGTTTGTCCATCACACCTGCTTTGTCTAGTTGCCTTCAGTTTTTTGCATTTACTTATTCCCACACTAAGTATCTGCTTTCTCCTGCCCCAGCCAACCACATTTCAATGCAATAAGCTGCAAGATGAGGTCCTATGAAAACTTGATCCTAACCCTGTGTGTTCCACTTTGCAGTTCTGAGACTGCTGAATGCAACACAGATTTCTGCTTTTGAAAGGCAGTGGCAGTTAAGTATCTTAACTAACTCAAATTTATTTGGGGAAATAATAGAAAACTCTAATATTAGAGCTGTCATTTAATTCTCAAGACAATTTAAAGGACCAAGAGGCCAAGTCACCTCTGAACATCTTTCATGTTGGTTTGTTACACAGTGAGATCTTGTTTTACAAGTGCTCTGTTTACAAGAATGCTGTAGGGCTAGGGGGATGGGGGGACGTTCATTTAAGTCCCACAGTCACACAGGGCTACTTTTGTAAAGGTCTGATCCAGTCCTACCAGCTGCTTGCCCACAAAACTTTGCAATTGTGGAGGCTAATTAAGATTCTTCAGAGGAGCTGCAGAAGGCCTCATTAGACATGCTGTACCTCCCCCCTCGCCCAGCTGAATGCCACACTGTGCTGGGTTTACACCATGGCTATGAATTAACCAATTGATTCTGAAAATATCATAATTTTGGGGCTAAATACAGCTGTTCCCTTAAAGAGGAAAAAGTCAGAGCTCCATCTAGGAATATATTGATACTGTATTACCTACCAACTCCCTTCTCTCTCACACAGTGAGCCGAGGATTCACTTGCCAGGATACAATGGGTTCAGTACAAAGGGAATTTATTGTGGCTTTCTGTGAAGATGGGGAGGAAAGCCAGGGCCTGGGCAATAAGCATGACATATCCAACTTGCAGGCAGGAAGCACTCTGATTTTAAAAAGACAGTTTACATCAAATTTACATTAAAACATGTACATATTTGCCTTGTCTTTTTGTGTCCACATCTTACTCCAGTTTTATTGTGAAGAGACCTGTAGCTGGCACAGATCAGCACATGGAGAGCTGCTTGGTACTAATGCTGTGCAGCTGGATCACAGAGCTCAGCACAGCTCTAGTCCTGGAACAAAATTTCAACTGGCACTGAAATATAATATCAGACCACCAGAATTCTTCAAGTGGCATGGTTGCAAAAGTTTGTACTATCTTTAAATTTGTTTTAAACCAAAACCAAATCTGATTTAAAGCACAAACTGAGGAATATATAAATGTGAGTATGTTTCATCTAATACAAACAGCTTTCCCCTTCTCTGTGTGTGCAAAAATCTGGTTTTGATATTTTAAAAGAAAGCTAGCTGCAGGAACAAGACAAGGTATTTCAAGTAGTGAAGAAAACCAAAGTGCTAACATACACAGTGTGAAGTTGGTCACAAGAAGATACTGTCAGCTTGGACAGCGTCCTCTTCCTCAATGTTTGGAGTGTCTAGCTACACCTCTTTGAATTAAAAATAATACTCTCTCCTCTCCAAACTAAAAATGAGACATATGACAACTTCACTGCACAAAGCCATACTACATATTGTAATAACAAAACGCTTTATTTTGGGGGAGTACAACGAAAAGTGTGACATCCTTATCATCAAACCATTTTAAAAAGGCATTCTTTCTTTGAAAAATGTTAACACTCGTACAGAAAAGGTGACCTGTGAAAAAGGCCTCTCACTTAGCAGCAGGAACCCTTTTTTTTTTTTAATAATTTTACAGCCAAAGTTGGGATTTAAATAATCTACAGCAAGAGATTTCAACTTTGCTGATGTATTCTAGGAGCTGGGAGCACGCCTGGCACCCAGCACTGCTCCCCTTCCAGGCAGCTGACAGCGCCGCGCCCAGGCGGAGCTATTGCAATCCTCACCCAGGTCGCCTCCCAACAAACCACAAGACTTCACCATTACCACAAGAAGACAGTGAGAAAGCCACAAGGTAACTCATTTTCTTTCATCTCCAAAGACTTTTCATGCAAACCCTATGCACACGAAGTTCTTGTACCATCCATCTGATTACACCTCCGCACCTCACCACACATCCCCTTTGCTGCAAGCCAGAACTGACTCATGAAATTTACAGCCAAAGTTGGGATTTAAATAATCTACAGCAAGAGATTTCAACTTTGCTGATGTATTCTAGGAGCTGGGAGCACGCCTGGCACCCAGCACTGCTCCCCTTCCAGGCAGCTGACAGCGCCGCGCCCAGGCGGAGCTATTGCAATCCTCACCCAGGTCGCCTCCCAACAAACCACAAGACTTCACCATTACCACAAGAAGACAGTGAGAAAGCCACAAGGTAACTCATTTTCTTTCATCTCCAAAGACTTTTCATGCAAACCCTATGCACACGAAGTTCTTGTACCATCCATCTGATTACACCTCCGCACCTCACCACACATCCCCTTTGCTGCAAGCCAGAACTGACTCATGAAAGGCACCCAACTCATCCAAAAAACTCTTTCCCCAGTGTATCTGCTTTCCGTACAGTAGGTTCCAAGTAAGTTGGGATACAATTTAAAGACTGCAAATTTTTATCCATAAATTATTTCTACCCTCTCTGGATCTTACATTAGAATTTAAGTTGTTAAACAGAGGGACCAGGAAGTTCCTAAAACTGTCAGGTTATAAAGTAAACATTTGTTTTTTTAATCCAGCATGCAAACTTGTTGCCTTAAGTAGTATCCATGCTGAGCAGTAAGATACATTGGTTTACTGTTCAAAGGGGGTTCATGTTGTCTGAAGTGGGAATGGCAAACTCTAAAAGAGTTAATGGATTTCTTTATTCATGTTAGACATAACAAATATGTCAGATACAGCAGTTAGTCTAGAAAAATACATTTTAAAAAGTCTTCAGCAGACCATGCTCCCTGTAACAAAATCTCTCGAAACCAATTTTACAAATTATTCTACATTAATGTAAAAAGAAAACCTTAATTTTAGCATCATGGATTCCATCAAATATCTATCTATCAAAACATGAGTTTCACTACTGTAGATGTTAGAATTCATAATACATTTTTTAATGTATCCTGTACATATTAAATAACCTAAAAGGCTCCTCTTGTAGTGCATTAACAATTTAGCAAGCACACTCAGTATTTCTCCAGTACCATTTGCATTACAGTTATTTGCCTGCAAATGTAATTAACATCTAAAAGTGCACACAGTTAGGTCCCCCCTCCCACCCCAGAACCTGCTTCCCTGCTGAAACCCAGACATCCACTGGAAACATTATGCTACCGTAGCTAATCTACCCATGATTAGAAATGTGTGACTGAAGTATTCTTAAACTATACAGGAATTGAATTATATACAAGAATCAAAAGGACAGCCTGTATTTACATCAAGAAACTTCCACTATGACAGCATTATACCAATAACTCAATACAGTGTTACAATTGGTATTTACTTAGGATTTTAGCTTCAAACCAGTATAACACAAAACTTAGCTCAGGAAATACCCTGAAAAAATGAACATGTTTATTAAATATTATTTCTATTATGCCACAAGACAAATATCCATTGCTGGATATTCTTACAAATGCAGTGTTTGAAATAGTGTGCTGTTGTATAAAGCAACTCAGAAGTTCCAGAAAGGTTGCTGGGGAAAAAAAAAAAAAAAAAAGGAAGGAAGGAAGAAAAAAAGAAAAAAGGGAGGAAAAGGACAGAAGATACCAAGTAAGGAATTAGATTTTAATAACTAAACCAAACTGTTAGCACAAGTTTAAGACAGTCACTGCATGCATAAACCCCTTGGAAAAGTGTCATACAGATCTGAGGAAGTTGTAATACACAAGCTCAAGATTAAATTTCACTGAATTTTCCATACCAGTTGGTAGGGCTTCTCCCCATCAAGTGGAAGAATTTTAAGATTAAATTCCAGATTACCCAGTTTGAGATTAATAGCTTTACTCTCCAAGAAATCCAGTGTATGAACCTATATTACATTTTTCCACTGCTACTTTTAAAAGGCAAACTATAAACTTTTCAAATCACTTTTTACATTGAAGTTTTCAAAGAAATTCAAAGTGTTGTCTTTAACTCGCACTGAAGTGGTCAAAAACATTTCTCCTGTTTCTCCCCTCCCCAAAAGTGCAAAAAACAAGTTGCTGCTTGGTCCACAAACATAATACATAATGTACAGCGAGAGATTTTCCTTCTGATGGAGTACTGCTGCCAACCCATCACTTCCAGTTTCTACTCCAAGAAAAATGTCAGCGTCCAAAGATGGAATTCAATTCCAGTAGAATTAATTCTACAATCTGATTCTGGTATACTGTATGGACTGCTATGTTACCAGTCTCTTTCTCTGGTTTTAGTAATGTTGGACCAAAAACTATTGCTACACTTTGATAAGTCATTCGGTTCTTTTCTCCGTTTTCTACAACTCTGCAAGAGAAAAAAAGTACATAAAAAGAGACTTATCAGTGTTAGAGTAATGGGATGACAGGAAAAAGTCTGAAGCAAATGACTATTCATAATACTTATTTAATAAGTAATCTTGCTATTAGGACAGAGACACTGTGATTCCCCCCCTCTACAGTGAAGTTTTGTTTTGAAATGCTATTCCTGATCCTCTCACAATCCCTCAAACACAAGAACTTGGCAGCAAACATCACAACTATGACACATGCTGTCTAAAGTCCATTTGGTGCACTGCAAGCTTGTATAAACATAGACTGATATATTGTTTTCATCAAGTCCTACAGAGGCAAGAAAAAATGCAGTGGGAAGAGCCACCTAGTACTTTTAATTGGATTACTTAGCTTTAAGGGAGGATCAGCAACACAAAGCCCTCCCTTCCATCTGCTACTTACCTCTTCAGGTGTCTAAAGAGGACCTGCATAGTGTCCTGATTTGGTTTTGGCAACTGTTTGATTAAATCTTTAACAGCATGAACACGCTGCCTTGGTTCTTGTTCTGTAAAAGGATGAGGTGTAGAAACAAAAATTCAGTATTTTTGTTTAAAACTTAAGCATAAGATTTAATAGACAGAATAAATGCAAACGTTTTGCAGGGCTAATATGAGATAAAATACTACCACCTCCTGGCCGGACTGTGCATTGATGACAGGCAATTTAGGTAAGCCCTGCAGACATTCATAACTAAAGCATTCTTTCTGGTGTCCAAAATAATTAAATTAACTGTACATCTTGAGCAGAAATTAAACAAAAAAGCACACGTGTGTTTTCCAGACTTACTAATTGCATTGACAAAGTCATTGAAATGATTATAAGTGAACAGCGGCTCAGGCAATTCTCTGAAAAACATCTTGAGAGCTCCTGTGATGACATGTATATCTTCCCATTTACTGTCATTCAAGTCTAGTTTCTCATCTGTGAGTGAAAAATTAATAATTAGTGTTAATAATTAAACTATAAAGGCTTTTAAAAATATATTTATTTCCCATAAATATCCTCAACTACTATTCTGTGCTTACTGGTTTTAAAGCAGTGAATACTCTTATTCCACTTCAGCCCAGTCTCAGCTGGGATACAGAGCTCCAGCAGTGTAAAAGGGGATACAAAAAACCTCAGCCACTACAGAAACGGCCAAACTCTGGCTACTGCTCTACACGCAGCTGCCTTACTCCAAGGGCATTTTCCAGAGGGGCAAAGAAGCTGTTGCCGTAACACAAAATTTACTGTTAGACCCTGTCAATCAGGAAATAAAAGGTCAGACTGTAGGTGGGTTACTGTCTTCTTCCTAGTTGCAAGCTGCCTATTGAATCCCACTGAGCAAAACACCGCGATACAGCCACATGAAAGGGTCTTATACACAGAGTAAGGCAAAGAGGAGCTAGGCAATCCCATTCCAAATCTCACTAAAAAGAAGCAGCTTAAAATGTGAATGCTAGTGGAAGCTTAATATGTTGATTATTTTTCCATACAGAATCAATCTACTTTGAAATAACTCCCCCTCCCCTCAAATTCGATTGCCACCTTTCTTTAGAATTATTCTAGCAATGACTCTGTGCTCCACATAAGACCAAACCTCCAGGATGCTAGGTTTTTCAAATTAAGTATATTACACACTAAACTCTGAAATTCTGGAGTAATTTTACTTAGAAGATGACAATGGTTTCACATGAAAGACTGCAGTTGCACATGAAGAAAATTTTGCCCTGAGCTTTCTATGAACAACAATCTGAAAACATATGCAATCGTAACACAGTTGAAGGAATCTTACCATGATTGACTGCAAATCTTAGCTTCTGTATCACTGCAAGATTGCCACTAACTCGATACAGGCCATCAACATCTAGTCCTAAAACAAAGGCATAAATCCATTTTTTAATACCTTCACACACACACAAATTCTGAAATCATTAGGATGCTCCTTTATAGGTATCAGCAAAATTAAAAACAAAAGAAACCCACCTTGTAACGACAAACAGTTGGTTCAAAAAACAAAGTTAAATTACATTTTTTGATGGGCAGGGCATGTAAGAGGAGTTTAAGTTTGCTGACACAAGTTTGGTAGCACCAAGTTCAAAGTAATCTCTAAAACCTTCTACACAATAAAACAGTAGTAATGTGGCAACAACTCCAAATTTCCCCCATGAGACAAGGGGTCTCATTTAAGATGCTCATGGTAGGTGGGCAGGAGGGGTATATGGGAGTTCAACATGCAAGAAACAAGTGTTTTGTGAATGTTCAATTTTTTAATATAAGGTTTGGTTAAGAAAAATCAAATCAAGTCATGCACAGAGAACATCTCAAAGTTGTCAAGTGACCAGGTTTGCATGGAGAAGGAATTATGTGCATGCACACTCATCACTACCCAACAGCCTATAGAACTAAAACAGGTAGTCCTTGCCTTTGCAGGCATGGTCAACCAAAAAAAGAAGAAAATTGTCTCTGTGGTTGCTACTGCAGTTACTCAGAAGTGATTAGGAGGTAAATCATTTAATTGAGATGCCACTTGAATGCAGTATGTGAATCAGTGCCACGGAGAGTGTTGCCAGAATACCTGCAGTCCCTGTAGCTCCTCAAGTTGTCTGATGCAACACAGCACAGTTACCAGCACCATCTGACATATCCCTTTTCCCCATAATCCACTAGTCATTGTTTTACAAAAAGAACTGATTTGAAGTGTATTGGCAGTAGGAAGAAGAGCTGGAGAAGTGAGGAAAAAAGCTGTTCATTTTTGTCAGCTTCCCCTCAGATATTTAAAAAGGGAAAACATCACTATCTTCACTGCAGTCCTGTTGTTAAAATAAAAAAAGTTAAAAAAAAAAAAAAAAAAAGAACAAAGGCAAATACCCCTTTCTTACAAGCTGCAGATCACAAACAGAATAAAGTCTGCTGTTACAAGGAAGGTGGCAGTTTGTCCAACTGGTGAAAGGCATAGAAGCAGTTATTTTTTCCCCTCCCAGGCAATAAGGTAGCAGCATTGAGAAGGACTACAGGCTGCAACAAAGTTCTAAATTACATCCCCATGGGAGATGCCTTAAAATTCACATGTAGTCTTCCCTTATAATACATTGATTCTCAAGAGAACATTTTCAGATTAACAGACCGGTATATATTAGAATGACAATTATGAAGATTCCATAACCCCCTCTCCATTACCTTTCCAAGAGGTGGGACAATGACAACAGCAAGAAACCCAGCACAGACTACAGCCAAGCCAGGAGTCACAGCTAACATTTTCAACAAAAATGTGAAGATATCCTTTACATCACACAACCCAGAATGTCATGTGCAGCTTCCAAATATATAATTTTCTCAGTTACTATGTAGGAAAGATTTATTTTCAGTGAAAACAAACAAAACCTGTCAGTGTCCACATATTGATTCCATCTCCAGAATTGCATAAAACTTGACATAGTGTAACTGGCTGAAAGGCATCAAACTGACAAGACTTCTCTTCTAGCAGTCAAAGCATGTACAGAGCAGGGAGCTGGCTTTTTCCAGAAGTTTGTTTCAAGGTAGTTTTAATATAAATGATCATTAGCATGCTTAAACCTTTCAAAAATGAAGCCACCTTTTGACAGTCTTTTATTCTGAAAAAAAATGTTGATGGGCTGAGCTCTTCATCCATTTGTAATCCATCTTTCCTTAAGAGACTTGCTGCCAGAAGACTGTCCTGCCTTCTCATCTTGCAATATACTGAGGCAGATCAATTTCTCAGATACAAGATTTCCTCCTCTCCCCCCATATTGGGTCCCATCTGCCTCTCCACTCTTGAAAACTATTTACTGATACAGGTCTCACATCATCTTCCCCAAAGAATCTGCAGCATTTTAAGGATTAAAACATTCAAACTTAGTGTGGTGAGCAAGAAAGATTTAGAAACAAAAATTTTCACCATACCATGTTCCTCAACATGCTCAATGCAGAGCTTCACGAACTTTGGCACCGTGCTGTTTTCTCTTTGACACAAGCTGGTGAGATTGGAACCAAAAACTTGATCTGGAACCAAGTAAAGAGACTGATTTACAGTGGAACAGGACTCAAGTGACAGAACTAGTTCAATTTAAAACAAACCTCTATAAAAAGCAAATACTAATACTGTGACAATTGTATCCAGTAGAGTGAAAGTAGGAAAGATTTGAAAAGAGCTCTCAGGAGATCCCAGCAAGAAAAAGCTCCCAGTAAGAAAGAGTATCAGCAGTTCCCTAAATGTGAGTCTCTGAGTAAGGAACTTTTGCTACTGAAATTATTTTAATTCATCAGGAGATACTTGTAAGATACTTGTCATCACTGTAATGAGGATTTAATGGATTCAACTACTCTGTTACACTCCATTCCTGTTCTAAGTTCAAAACAGATTTACTGTAATCTTTGTTAAAAATCTGAACAGAGCTTATAAACTTTAACCAAGCTTTTGGCATTGCTTGGGGAAAAAGACTGTAAAATTTCATCTTTTCATTGTACCTACTATTTAACCCAGCATTACATATTCATTTACTTTAATGTAGCCTTTAACTTCTAACATTTTTAAGTTCTGACATGGATTCGTAAGTGATAGACCTTTGTATCACAGAACTCTGAATGGATGCCTATCCATTCAGATCCTATCCAACAAAATCCAGGAGGAGTGTTTTCCATCATCAACTGGAACAAGAAGGAAAATCCCTTGGGCAGAGAACAGATTCTTGCAACACCTCAGTGTATTTCAGCGAAATGTTAACTTCTTTTGTTCAGATCATGTTATCACCAAAATCTCTCTCAGACCCATTTCTATAGTTTTCATCAAAGATGACCTCCTCTGTTCAGATGTATGAGACTGAAAAAGGGTCTTGAGATAGAAAAGCAAAGCTCACACTTTTAAAGGAAAAATTGCCGGGCTTTTGGGGCTTTCTTTAATCTGTTAAATAAGGTTTGTAAAGAGCTGTCTTCTCGGTATCTAGCAGATCATACTTCAGTGTTTATGCAAGACAGAAACTATTCTTGCATTTGCATCACGCATAGCATCTAGTCCATTTTTCATGCCTAGTAATTTAAGCAGATTCATTAACAACACTTGCATCTGACTACTGCTTTGGGAAATCCAAACAGCACACCAAACCAATTATACAGTGTGGAAGCTGGCAGGTAACGGTGGTATGAGCTGCATGTGTACCAGGCCAGTGCCCCAAAACCCCTCAGTCCTGCTGCTGCTACTCATCCAGCCAGCTGCACAAGCAGAATCAATAGCAAGGGACTGAAAAAGCCCAGAGAGTAGAAAGCCAGGCCAGCATGCAGGTGTAGCAGGTAAAGCAATGCAGATTAGGTAGCCCAAGAAAACACTAGCATGTAACAAACCAATTAACTACAATTGCCTTTGACTTCAATAACGTCCACACATCCAGAAATTGTATTTTTAACTCTCAAAGTAACTTTTGTCATTTTGTTTTTTCCATATAAGAAAACTCTAAAACAAGTACTTCTCTGCTTAGTACACACTTTTTGTAAAACTTTTAATACTGTTTTTCTACTCATACTGGTTTTGCCAAGTTTTCCATTTACTAAGCTTATTCTGTAGCAGCCATAAAGATACACTGGACTTTTAAATAAATAATTCTGTCTTTTCAATTCATTCAGCAAATGTAGAACTGTACAGCACAGATCCAACTTTCAAACTTCACAACATGTTCTTAAATAAAAAACAAACTCTCCGTTCCTTAACACCTTTATTAAAAATCCAATCATCAGCATGCATATGTACACATTAAACTTGGCTTAGCATTCACTGTTGCTGATGTCAGAAGTTAAGTCACTGAGCCATGACATGACTACTAAACTGTAAAGCAGTGCAAAACATCAAAGTCTGGGAATAATGTCTCCTTATCCCCAACAAAAAAATTCATCATTTACAATAAATTATATTTGCAGATACACAAATATATCAAATGTCACATGCAACAGAAGGACACCTGTTAAGTTATTTAGTTAGGCAAATCACAGTACAATCTGGTCTGATATTTGCCTACCCATATGCTATTTTGGCCCTAGCAGAGCATCACCTACAAGCCCTCCTAAAGCATACAAAAAAATAAATAAATGAAGTTTTACAGTGAGCACCAAGTCAATAATTTACACAAACACATTAACTTAAACCTGTGCAATCACTGTTCTCTCAAAGTTTATAGAAGTGCAACAAATGGAAACAAATTATTTCATGTTTGATTCAAGCATATATGCAAGACTCATTGTTTGTGAAACAGTTTTAAGAATGCATACATTCAAAAAAGGTTAGGGAAAAGAGATGTTTAAGCTAAGATTCCTTTAGCCTCATCCTGGTTTGTCTAAATATTTCATTTCTTAGGAGATGGCATATGATTGCTAAACTAAAACACCCTTGTGCAACAGATGAGTATATGAGTTCAGCTTTGTGTCCAAAGGATTTTTTTTACCCTTTATTGCCCAAAACATTATCAGCTATTGGAAGTTTTTAGCTGAGAAGAGGAGACCAATGGACTTTCTAGCTAAAAAGCACCCCAAGACCCAAAAGGCTCCCAGGCCTTCAACTTTCACTGCAAGTGTGCCAGCAATGAGCTGAAAGAGAGGACATCCTCCTTCAGCCAAGCACAGCAGCCAGCAGCAGTGCTCAGAAGAACGACAATCCAACACCAATTCCACTACACATCCAAGACTTTTGTTTAACCAGCTATATACATGTGTTTTACTCTAAAACTAGACCATTTTAACCCCATTTTACACGTAAACATCTAAATTCAGGTTTTTAAATTATTTCCTTTGTTAAAAAGGTTCATTTACCCTTAATGTAGCCTTTTTCACGGACAGCTTGTAATGTAGGGCGCCGTGTAAGAAACTTCTTGAGCTTTGTTTTAGTCTTTTTCTGATCTGTGGAATCTGTATTGCTGGGTGCTTTCACAGCTGGAAAGAGAAATGCATTCAACATGAACATCCACAGAACCAACACTGCATTAATCTGCCAAGGAACCAACATTTTTTAAAAATTAAGCTCAAAACCACACAAAAATCCTGTTTGAATTCGCAATGCATCCACTTTTTATTTTTCTTAACTTTTTGGAAGCCCTTGTAAATAGCATCTATTTTTCAAACCACCAAGAGACAACCTTGCCACAAAAAACTTCTAAAACCAAATACTGCCTGTGTAACTAAATGGTAGCTTGCCTAAGGAATTGGTATATAAGATATAGCTTATGGTATATAAGATATAGCTATGTTTCAAATCCAGTCCTGCCTTTCATTAAGTATAACTATTTTGAAATATATATACTTGCTTGCCAATTACATATAATACCCAGAAGTAAAACACAGAAAGCAGTCTACCTGATTAATATATTTATATGCATAGGAAGAAACTTCTGTGGCTAAAAGAAATGTAGCTCTAAAATTCTGAAGGTGCATTGACAACACCATGAAAACAATCCATTTCACCACTGCCTGTTTTCTCCTGTTTTTCATGTGTCATACCAGCAGAAACTAAAAACATTTGGTACTTTTAAGTACAATTCATAAAACTTGGATGAAAATCTTCTAACTGGCACTAAGATGTAGAACGAACTGTACCAAAGTCTGTTTCCAAACTTGAGTAGTTTCATTTCTAGCTGTCTTTTTGAATTCTTCTCTTCCTACATATAATACTCAAGATACAAAAAATAAAAACTGACATTGCCAAAAAAACAATTAATGGAAAATTCTCAACTCACAACGAAGTTTCTTAGCGTCTTTATTCTCTTTCTCTTTTTCTTTGTCTTGTTTTTCCACCCCAGGAGAATCTGGTACTTCATCTTCTAACGCTTCATCAGACTCTACTACCTATTAGATTTAAGAAGATACAGTGATCAGTTTGCCAAGTCATAAAATACCACATTAACTAACAGATTTCCTATAGACAGTTTTCCAATATGCCATTTATTTCCCTATAATGATATCTAGTCGTTTCCTTCTCCTGAACTCTAAGTGCTGAAAGTATCTTCAGACATGGTACCATTCTCAGTGGCAGTGAACAACTTTGAGAAACACTTTTTAATCATAAGACCCAACAGAGAAAGCTTTGCTGGACACTGAATAAAGCACAACCAGCCTTTCATGGTAACACTTCATTACACCAAGCAATAAACAACAGCAATGTGGGTTTTTTTCTAACCCAGTAGACAAACATCAGCTATTTCATGGTCTACTACAGAAGCATCTGACCGATGGAGTTAAAAACACATTCCTAGAGCATTTATCTTATTTCAGATCTCTGTAATTAAAATACAACTACCAGCTGGAAAAATTCATCACTGTCAAAGCATACACTTAATCCACTGTGAAAAGGTAAATATACCAATGCTAAAAATCCTTGCCCTGTGTTACTGCTCTCTCAGGACATTCTCATTAAACAAGTGAAAATATTCTAATTTCAAGTGAAAATGCAGATCATGTTGTAGCACGGAGGTAGATACCAGAGTCTGTGAAACTGCCTACCTGCAGCCTCATCCCTATGCAACACAGGTGATCGCAGACATACCAGTAAATAGAGAAGCTTCCTCTTGTCTCAGTGCAACATACTCCTTTCAAAAACCATGTATTTCTTACTTCACTTCTACTAAAATGAACTTGACTTCTATGCAGTTGCAAATCTGCCTGCACAGATTCCTTGTTACAAGGAAGGACATTTTAAAAACAAGACAAGGTTGCTTACCCCAGAGCACTGCATGAGCAGAAGCATGGCTTCTTCATCTAAATTGCACTTTACCTTGAAGGGCTAACATTAGCTTTAAACACCTCCCTGGAAGTGTTCAAGGACAGTCTGGATGGGACTTTAAGCAACCTGATCTAGTGGGAGGTGTCCTTGCCCCCCAGCAGGGGCATTGGAACTAGATGATCTTTCAGGTCCCTTCCAACCCAAACCGTTCTATGATTCTATGATTATTCTTTATTGCTTTTCAAAAGCTTTCAATATCCTTTTTACATGTCTAAGACCAATATATTCCACAGATTCAGTGCTCCAAATTAACAAGTAGTCTGATAATGTATTTTTTGAACTTGTTCCTTGTAACGTGAACTCTCTTGACTACCAGCTCCCAGCAGTACTGTATCACCGTTTCCTCCAGAGTGCTATTTCACCAGTCCCTTCCTCCACCTAACCTGTAATACCTTGGTCTCATCTCAGCTCTATCTCAGCCTTTCCATCTTCTTTTCTATGTAAGTAGGGAAGAAATGGCCTTGTTTGAGTTACACAGGGCATACAGGAGAAGAATATTGCTGAGTGACTGCCTTGCCTGGTTATGAAGGGTCATGACATTTTCATTCCAGGAGAGAGCAGAAGATTAGGAGACTGAACCACAAGCACTCAGAAACAAAACTAAATCACTGGTATGATTTCATTTGGTGATTTTGTTCAGCTGTGTTTGGGTAGAAAACACCCCTATGAGGAAAACACTCTCAGAGCTAAGAGAAATGAAGGCTACTGATTGACAAGGAAAGCAACATAAATGCAGCTTAGGGACAGCAGCTAGACCTGTAACTATAAAAATTAAGAATATATATTAAGTCAACTGGATGCAACAGGAAAATTTTCTCCAAGATCTCCTTCAACTTCTGAATTCAAAGATGGGAAATCTTCATTGGCAATATCAAAAGCAAATGCTTCAGCACTTTTCAGCTGATTAAATAGTGGGCATTATGCCATCAGATAAGAAGAGATAACAGTATTTTGCCAGGATTTTTAATTGGCACTTTAGTGCACAATTAAAAAGCCTTATTAAGTGACTAACACTATCAAATGCTGACTAATGTATGACATGAAGCACTCCCTTGGCTGTCCTCCCCATTTACTCCCTATTAGTATCTTTCAGGTTACTGAGACAGAACAAGTATTTGGCCACAGAAGGAAGCTCATGTTTGAGCTGGATGTCAGCCCATGTCTCCTGGTTCTTAATCCAGTGGACCATCCTTTTTCCTTTGTCATTATTAATTATATTCCACTTCTGTCCATTATGAACTGCTATATCCTCCAACTCTTGCCCATGTCCAAGAAAATCAGGAAATGAAGGTGTATGTGAAGCACTAGGAGTTGTTACATTAATTATTTTGCTAAATAACATTACCCTGAAAATAGAGCCTTTGTGATTCAGACACATACCTGATTGTTGATGGTATAGTTAAGAACTTTATACCATTCATTAATAAAGCCGTCATTATCAGATTGAATTAAGAGCTCGGTTCCTTGGCGGGTTTTTAGCTTGAAAGAAATAAAACCAGGTATCATCAGAATTGATAAACTAAAATTATTTAAATCAAATTCAGCTTCTACCTGGCATAACAGTTAGATAACACATAACCACTCAATAAAACTTAACAGTAAAAACAGTGAATAACAGCCTGCTTAAAGTTTAAGCGCATATACCAGACAAATGAAAAATGGACATTTCTTGCAAGTTCTCAGATACATCTACATTCGAACATGAAGAAATGTAGAAAACTCCATTAAAGCTTTTGATTTCCAGTTGAGAGAAAATTTCTTAAGTCATTAAAGTACAGATAATTCTGCACTTAAATAAAATAGCTCACCTCAATAACATTCTTTTTGCTGGATTTGTCCTTTGAGGCCCAGTCAATCAATGCCCCTCTGAGATCCACTGTAAATTCTGGCTTAGACTGATTGACACCAAACTTCTGGAAAAAAGGAACAACGATGACAAACTTAAAAACAAACAAACTTGTAATAGATACAGTCTTGCAATCCTCTGAATGTACCATGCATTATTTACAGTCCTAAATACTTAACCCAAATACAGTACTTTGCCACAAATCAACAGGCACACCAGAAAAACAAAAACCTCACACAAAACACCCTGCAAACATGACTATTAAAAGCTGCTCAGCCTAAAACTCCTAACATTCTGTAACTGCCAAACAAATTCCAATAGAGATTTTTTTCCTATCACAAATGTTCAAAGTCCATACAGCACTTGATTGTAGCTTGATGTAAGTCAAGACAGCCCCAAGCTTTAAACAAAACTGGCTAGCAAGTAACTGAACAAATATGCTGTCAGCTAATCAACAGTTGCACATAAAACCAAAAATCAAACCAGAAATAGCAGCTTGCTAGATAGGAGTCACATCCCTCCTGCACTGCAAACAAACTTTAAGTTTTTACATTTTTGTCAATTTTGCATACATTTTATATAAATACGTACACATACACACAAATGTCCAACAAAGCTTTTCACATTATTTTGCTTTTCTTTAGTACTTCTGTTGCAATACTGAAGAATATCCTAACAGGTAAACAGAACCCAATTTCACTATCTAGCTACTAAACAAACAGCAAATAACCAAAGTTATAAAAAAGCATTTAACCCATAAGCAACCCATCAAGCAATTTGGAGGAAAATATCAGGGAGCTATTTTTACCTATTACTTTTGCATTTATATTTGGCATCACGATTTTTAAAAATAAAGCATTTTTACTGCTTTTTCAACCCACATCACATAGCTTTGAAATATTATTCATCAAATAAACCAACATACAAAAAGTTCTAATTGTCAGTAAAATAAGTAAAGAACAGAACAGGGAAAGCTGTAAGTCAGTTGGGTTGTAGCACAGAAATTTAATGCTGTTCTTCTAGGGAAGCCTGCAGCATCTGATCCATCAGGAAGGTTCTTTTCTTTTACAAGTCTTTGATGTGCAACTGCTGTTCCTGTGACAGCTCTGGGGGACATAAGCCCCAGGACAAGCTCCTTGCTGTGAACTTGAGGTTTCCAGCCTGTATGAGAACAGCCACATCCAAGGTTAGAAAAAAACGCTTCAGATAACAGAACTGCTTCTGATTAAATTCCCAGCATGGATGTTAATTAATGCTAATTGTGTTTTAGAAAGGCTGTTTACCACTGGAAGATCTCCCTGCTTTCATTCCTAAGGGCAATTAAATGCTGAATGGAAAGCAGCATCCTAACTTCTTTATTTTACTCATAGAATACCAGAATAAGGGAATATTTCTAATTTACCCAATGCCAACTAGCACTTGGGGAAAAAAACAACCCTCCCGCTTTCTAACTTAGTTCTCAGATACCTCATCCAAGAATGTTTCTTACTAATTGTAGCAAGAGCTTCTGAGAGAGGCTCAGCTCAGCAGCAGAGTTCACAGGAAAAATCTCTGGGCCATTACAGCTCTTGCAGTTATGGGGGGGCTGTGCAGCAGCTGCCTGTTTAAGAGAGATTAATTTAACTGCTTCACATGCAACCAAAGTGCCCCAGCCACAGGCTTCCTGACAGCCTAGAACAATCTTGCTGCATGTTGGGAAAAAGAAAAATAACCAATTTATAGAGTTTGGCAATGGACAGAACAGGAGACCTAAACCAAAGTCCCCTGCAGGATTGGGTGGGTATGTTAAAAACACTGCGCAGATGATGCTGAGAAGCACAGATGACCTGCTATAAGTGACATCAACAAATAGCAACAAAAAAACCAAACCAGTCAGTGCTGCTTCCACCAAAAGAAAAGCCTTCCAATGCATTAGCCTGCTGACCTCCCCCCACCCAACAGACAGCAGTACCACCTTAAACACCTTTGTCGTCTATCCATGTGTTTGGCCTGACTCCCTGCAACATTTCAGAGATGGCCCAAACAAACAAAGAACTCGAAGTTAAACTTCTCAGAAGGGGGGAAAAATAAGTTTTCCGCCACTCCTTTCCACAAACAGTGCCAAGGATGGGGAAATACATGCAAACAATCCCACATCTCTGCAAAGCTCCTCTGATATACCAGTATCATTTACACTCATCACAAATTTAATTTCTTCATTCCAGAAAATGTTACGTTTAGCATGCAGGCTCTCCTACTAACTTCTCTGTCAAGGTTCCTGACTGCTCCTGGGTGTGATCAAAACAAGAGGCCAGCAGCCATTTCCCTCCTTCAAAGCTTCCAGGAGCAAGTCCTGCACAGGGCTGCTCCAATGCTCTACACACAAAGGTTAGCTAAAGGCAATCGAACACCCCTGAAAGCATGCAGGTTTTGTTGAGAGCAGTACAAAGAAAGCTTTTCCCTTTAGCATCTGCTGCCACCTAGACATAAAATCTGCTTTCTCAAAACAGAGTGCACTACCAAGTCAACATTAGTTGGGCTAAATTCAGCTCTCACTGAACAGACACCTTATTCTTACTGGATTCCTCTTCTCAGCTGTCTGGAAGGTTTGGAAAGGACAACAGCGTGAGACAGGGAGAGAGAGAGCTCTACTCGTGGTGCTGCCAGCTGTTCTTGAGTTACTGCTGACAGCTTTTTTCAGAAAAAATGTGCAGCCATGGGATCTGCTTCTGCTAGTTAGATGGCAGAGAAAACCTCTAATTTTTAGAAATAGGGGCTGAAGTGTTTTTGCTTTAGACATAGTAAATGCTGTGTAGCTTGAGAACTGCCTTGAAGATGTGGCTTGACATCAATGAACAGAAGGCCTTTCCAATCTTCTCAGGCTTTTCCTCCGAGTCCTGGGAACCTCCACAGGACAAGCCAGTCTGTATTGATATATTACAGCATTCTTTGGAAACAGAACTGGATGTTACTGATAGGAAGATTTCAGATGTACAAGTGACACCTGCCATTCTCGTAATTCTGTTTCTAAGTAGAGTTGGGTGGAACATTTTAATTCCAAGTCCTCCTCACCCACAGATGGACCACAGAAATAGAGCTGAGGGGAGAGATTCTTCTTTGGTGGCTGGTAAGGGAGCTTCAGGACTCACAGCTTTGACCAAAAAAAAAAAAAATACAAAGACATTCTTCACTGACATAGAAAAATTATGGAAGATTTGTTGCAACTGGACTCAGAGAAGTACTTACATTCCAAACAGTTTTCATTATAACCACCGGAGCTCCTGCACACTCAGCTGTGCAATACCAATTAACTACAGCAATGCACATACAGCATCCTTATCTAGAAACACAGTGGTGTTAAGACAATAAACAGAGTTTGCCCAAATGAATCTTGAAGAGGTTGCTTCTCAATGTTTTGTTGAAAAGTCTGCTCACTTTTGGTTTACCACCACTGTACTTGACACTGAGGACATGTGCCTATTACAGCAGGTTGACAGAGGAATCCTTCTACCCAGTTACCATCACTTGCTGTGTTTTATGAAGCCCCATTGCTAAAACTTGGCGATAACTACTACAACTCATTCGCATCAAAAGTTGAGATATCTTCTTTCAAAAGATGAAAATTTACAGTTCTGTTTGAAAACATTTTTTAAATCCACGTATTTCCTTACATGGAGTAGCATTTTAACAGATACCAAATTGCATATAAACTATCTGCCCTAGGCTTCCACATACATAGCAATGCACTTGACAGACAAAGAAGAGGCAGCTGCATAATTTTTAGTACAAGGTTAATTGAACAAGCCCACAGTTACTCTTCCCTACAAGCAGAAAAAACAAGATGGTAATTCTAGAAGTCTCAGAAATCTTAACTAAAATCATATAGCTTGCTCTGCACTCTCCAGGGAATACAGACAAGATATCAAAATAATCTTAAACATCACCAGTACTTCAGTTTTGGTTGAGCTTTAGTTTGATTCTGACAAAAGTGATGAGAAGGAAGCATTAAAAACCAATTATGCAACCAGTCAAGAATGTTTGCTTCTTCTAACACTAGTATCATTATCTAAATTCCTCCTAATCCACCTTGAGCAACAAACTATCATATTAGCTACCAAAACTTTACTGGTTTCAGATAAGCAGCACTTCTGTGCTTGGCATCTATACTCCAAAACGTGGCTAACTACAGATGCTTAAATTATAAAGAGTCCTACAAATTTACATTAGCTTTCTGTATCTGCCATATAGCCAGAACACCCTTGAGGTCCTTTCAGTTTTTTATGCATAACATTTACATTTCTGAGGATTCCAACTGGATTCAGAATTAACCAACATGTACATCATTGTATCAAAGATGTTATAGGCCCTTTACAAACATCATAAATTAGTTGAGTTAGAAAGAATTAGACAAAAAATATCTATTAAAACTGACCATAGCATGCTCTTTATTAGTCAAGACACTAGTGGTTCAAGTAGTAGGCAATTACGAGATTAAAAATCTGGCACTGATGAGCTAGATAGTATTTCTGCTTTGCTCCATTAGAATCATTACAAGATTACTGTAACATATTTGTGTTAATTTGCACCTCAGATGACTTTCAGAAAATGACAAACAGGATACACAAGGTGCTACATGAAGTGACAAAACTTAAACCTTGAAAAAATTCTAATTTATTTTTGAGATTAGTGGCAAATAGCCTTACAGTGACAAGAGGCATGCAACAAGAACACATACAGTGATAGCTGAAACTTGGTCAGAGTTTACATAGGTGACAGCAGGTCGACGACTGAGAGCATTTTTCCAAGAAGAAAGCAGCGAAAGCAAGAGCTCAGGAATTGAGCCCCCATGGCAAAATGACTTGATGAGAAAAAGGAAGAAAAGTGATGAAGTCACATAACAATGCACAAAATAAAAAGATACAGTTACATCAATCACTAGATGAATGCTAAACAAACATTCTTCTCGTAAGATGAAGAAATGTAATTCTTATCATGCGTCAAACTGTTACACTAGACTTCATCTTATTAAAATACTGATACGGATCAAAGTGTGAGAGGTGAGATAGAAGCTGACACCCAAAAAAGAGTCCTACACAGAGTGCAGAGAGTATGTGCTGAATACTTAATTACATCTTTACAAAGCCAAATGCAAGTATGCAGTTAGACAACACAAAGTCCTTGAAAGATGTTTTCCCTTAATATTTCCAGCTTCACTTTTTTCTTTTCTTACTGTTAATGATTTATTTTGCTGACTCTTCTCCAATACTTGAGAGTACATATATCTGATGCTTTTGTTCCACTTTAATTCCCAAAAGAATGTATGACTTTTCCCCCCCCACCAAATGACTGTATTTATAAGGTGTAACACGCATCTTACATTAGTATTCCTAAGCACGTTGCATGACCATTTTTAGTGGACAGAAATAGCTATTCATAACAGTATCATATATTCATGATCAGTATCTCACTTCCACACTGTGTATTTTAATGATTTAACTATATGTTGATATCAATGGTTTTTTTTAATCTACAGCTACTTTTGGATTCAGAGTATTAGTAATTGTAATTGAGTTTTGGAAACTTGAGAAGTGAACTCAGGTGAACTCTTTTACTTTCTAAACATGCAATTTTATACCTATAAAATTTAAGTACTTTTCAGATCTGCAGCTATAAAAGTAAATTGTAGTAAATTGTAAAAGTAAATCAAAACTCAAAGTTATGAATTTCCAGAATTTTTATTAGTGCACTGCAAAAATAACAGCATTCTTTGTCCACTAAGACTAAATATTGAAGCTCACCTCAGAATGGCTAGGAGTTTTCCATTTTATGAAGTAGGGTGATGAAACTGAACTTAACCAAACAACAGATAATGACTGAAAGGCATGAAGGAAGGTAAGGGAATGAGTTTTAAAACTTTCCAATTCCAGTAAAAGGGATTCAAAGCTTCAAAGCTCACCTTTTAAGGCCATTTTAAGGTTTGTCAATATTTCTTCAACATATTTTGTTATGAAAGTTATATTTTTTTAAAAAGATCACAAGTTATGTTCATTATCTTATCTGCAGTATTTCTGTCACCGATGAATAATCCTATTTACCTAGTGTTCCAACGTTCACAGGTGGGAAAGTCAGTGTATACACACGTACTTATGAATTAAAGATTGTGTGTGTGTTTATTTTCACATGTATGTTTCTGTGCCACCTTCTGTGCTTTGTCTCTGATATACACAAACTCTTCCCCTCCACACAAAGTGTAAGCAGATCTCCTCAGGTCACCAAGTCTTCTTCCTCCCAGACAGTGTTCTCTCATGCCTCTAATTTTTCTTCTTCCTTCCCTTCTCTCTTCCTTCATCTTGCCCAACTTGACTCTTTCCATTCTTTTCTACCCCCAATCTTGTTGTTTATACATCTTTACCCATTTTTTTATCCAAACACCCCTTCTACCAGAACAGAAGGGCAAAAATATGATGTTTACAGCTCTGAAATTAATTCAATGTTTTAGAAAAGAACTGTCAATATCCATTCACTACCCAAAAAGAAGTGCAACAGGAGAAAGTGAGCCAAGTAGAAAGATCAGCAAGGCACACCAAGATAGCACACATCTGTAAGACGCAATTTTGCTGGAACTGTCATAATAATACACTGCAACAAATACTGAATCTGATCTCTCAAGATATTATAGGAGATCCACACAGTTTAATGTCAGATCTCCAAAAGTAGGTGAGTGAGCTGGAGATGAGGGACCACTTCTATACCTGTTCATGTAGAAGTGTACCTGGGTAAATATGGCCATTTTAATTACAGTGCTATGGCCATTTTAATTACAGTGCTATTTAATAAGAGATGATATAAAAATGGAATAGTCATCAACTTCAGTGTGATGTTTCTCTTTTAAGTGTTCATCAGACATCAAAATAAGACACAAATACAAAACAAGATATGGAATCAAACATGGAAAAGATTAAATGAAAAGACAACCATACTGCATGATTCCAACAGTACAATGCAACCAGCTAACTGTGGGACTATTTTCTTCATTACCTGAATCACATTCAGTTTATTGGAGTTTATGAAAAAAATATCCCAGAATGGTCAAATAAAAACTTAGACAAACACATTAGTAAGAAAAACAAAAATATTCAGCCTGAAGCCTAAACTTCAAGCTTACAGGGCACCTGAGCATTTCCTTCTCAGTTTCTTACTTATCAAACAAAAATCTTCCTGAAACAGAAGAAAGTACAATTGTTTTTCTTCTCATTCTACTTCATAGTTGTTACATTAAACTATTTTCCTGCTAACTTACACACTTATTTTTTCTAAACTATGCATGCATAACTGTATTTAAGCCCAACAAAAAACCCCAGAGCTTTAATTTATTATGCTTTATGTGATTTAACACTTCAGTGAGGGTGGGAGATGTTCTTGAACTTACCCAGCCAGTTCCACTTCCTTGGGTTTTAGTGAACAGCAACGATGAACCTTGTAACACTGCCCACGAGGACATCCAATTCTTTCTGTAAATATTTATAAACAAACATAAGATAAATTCACTTTGAAAGTAGGTATTTAAACTGTCAATCACTGTTGCTCAGCTGACCTGTATCTTAATATACTTAAGCATATATACAGTCATTAGTGCCATCAGTAAGTATAACTCTCTATCATATTTGTAGAAGGGAACATATGTTAACAGCCCCTGCCTGACCATCAAAGTCTAAATCAAACAAAACTAATTAGTAGTGGAAGCAGTTCACTAGGAGAAACACTATACAATTATAATTTCAAAGGGGCTGATCTGGAACACTCAGCCTACTGTGCACTTAGTAAATTATGCCAAAGTACTGCATAATTCTGAATTTGATTGATCACATCTAACTGGAATGCAAATGCCTCACATTCATGTAACAAGCTCATTTACGCTGGCAATAACATACTTGCTACACATCTACCAAGTGCAGAAAAAGAACAAATTGGTTGTTCCAGGTGTCTATTTGCCTTTATGCCTGAGCACCTGTCCTCCTGAGGGTAAAAAAAACAAAATTCTTGACAAGCCCTGACAACCTATTCCTATTGCCCAAGCATGATTTATTAATCAACAGCTCTTAAAGTGACAGGATGGCCACACTGCATCTTTCTGTACAGCAGCACAGTAATCCAGATCAATGATTCCAACAGATGCAACACAACTGGTGAGAAGGATACTGTACCAGTAGCAGCTTACATGAGCCACTGTCCACCCTTTCATAGCAAGCTCTTAGGAGCAGCTCTGGGGAACCAAGCTGGGGGGCAGACCTACTGCCCAGCTACATTGGACTAGATTAGGGTGGCTCCAGATTATCATTTGCATGCTGACTATTTAATCCTGAGGAAAAGCATGTAACAAAAGTCTGGGAAACACTGAATTAGATATAACACAGTACTAGATATAAAAGCTTAAATTTAAAAAAGTTAAAAAAGTAAAACGTAAAACCTAAATTTAATCTGAGCATATGCCACACGTAGTATTTAACACTGACTCTTCGCAAAACACCAGAAATGTTAGTTAGGCAGCATTACTCAATTATACACGATGACTTATAATGCAAATGCCTGCCTGTGAGGCAGAGACAGGAAGTTAGAAATTAGGTCATTTATCATCTACAGCAGGACCAAAGTTGGGTCACACCTGCTCCACAAGCAGAGTGAAGGAAGACTTAGGGAACACAAGACGTGTACACTCCTTGGAAATCAAAGGAGATGAAGTGGAAGTCTAAAAGCCCCTCCTACACAGATTCTATCCAGGGAACAAGACAGGCTATAAACTATACATATTTTCTCTTAAATAAATAAATTGGCCCCATTTTAAAAAGCTGTCTCTCACCAGCACACTGTCACGAAATCACTGCCCCGCAGGGAGCTCTGGCATACATGAGCCTCCAGCTCCCTGAAGTACATTATCTTCAGATCACTGGGAGAAACACAGACTTTGAGACATGGAAACACTGTGTGCTAGGAGCAGAACTACTCAGGCATATTCAGACAAATAGTAAGAAACTGCAAAAGCCAGTATGTTGCCCTAATCTAAAAGTCAGATACCTTACACAAACTCTTATGCACATACTTCTAGAAGTCAAAGACTTACCGAACTTTCTTCCCATTTTCTGTAAGCTTTGTCACATTCAATAACCCATACTTCTCTTGACCCTACAAGATACAGTAAAACATAACAAATATAAACCAAAACCTATTTCTGTTGCCATCAAAGTACTGAATTCAATCCCACACACAATCAATTTCTGGCAATGAGCCACGTTTGCCCATGTTATGACTTCAAGAAACTGTCAGAAGTATATTTAAGTATGCAGCAATCAGCAAAAATCAAAGTTCCTCTGGGAAAGTACTTATCACCATTCAGAAAGTAAAACGTTTTCCTTCTTTAAGGTCTAAGTTCTTTGGACAAGGCAAATTAAGCCATTTGTGGTACTATACAGGGGAAATGTTAAATCTAAATTTATAATTATTTGTGTAATAGCACATTTGTGTTTGTGTCCTTCAACTAGAAAAGGAGATGGCTGACAAACAGCCTCAATTCTCTAACAAAATCCTTCCAAGATATTTTAATATAACTGCATATTTTATAGAAAATACAGTTGACATGCATAAAAATATTAACATGTTCATTTCAAAACCAGATGAATGAAACATTTCTTCGATGTCCTATTTTTTCCTATCCCCAAGCAAAATATTAGTATTTTAAACTACTTAGTTATGTCTTGATTAAAATAATTTACATTGGCATGCCTCTGTACAAGTTTGGACATCAGTCAATGAACAGTGGGAAAAAAAAACACTGAACAGGAAGGGCATCTACAAGTTTACAATATTTGGAGTGAATATTTATAGTTTCTATGCAAAAATAACTACATTTAAAGGAATGCTTGAAAAAATATTCTATGATAAAAAGGAAAACCATCTATTTGTACCGTTTGTAACACTCAAGATGAGGTAACAAGTTCTGTCATTTTCTCCTGTCAGCTCAGCCTTGTCCTACCAGTGAATAGTGCTAAAGGAATGTTAAATTTGGGATTTAAAATCAATTTATTTTCAGTAATAGCTTGTAACAGTCCCTAATTTAAGAACTACGCTATTATTTTAAACAATCAACTAAGGAAAGGATCTAAACTAGTTTTATCATAACAGAAATGCCCTCACTTTTAGATCCAATGAAAATAGAATATATGTTCTCTCCAATATTCTCCTCTAAATCTCATAATTAGGTGGACCATAACTGCACAATACAATATCAAAGAGAAATTTTATGCCAGAATATTGTGACAATACTCTTACCAAAGACACAGATCTGTTTTTTCCTGAGTGTAAAAAATGTTACCTACATGTTTCAAGCACAGCACATAAAATATGAGAGAAACGTTTTCAAGGATAACAGTGTTTACCTGATGATTCAGAAATTAAATTTCAGCCAACAAACAAAAACAACAAAACAACAAAATCAACCCATTCCTTAGATCATAAACACCACTAACAGTCCCATGCACTGCATGCTTCAAACGAAACCTTTGGCTTTAGTAAGTGAAACTGCCTGTCACCATCTTCCACTGCGACTGAGCATCCCATGCCCACCTCCTCAAAAAAGGTATGGTTTTAATAAATTACTCATGGTAGAACCAGTGGGAATGCTCCAAAGAAAAATTACTTAGAAGTATCATAATGCTCTACTTAGCAGCAACACTAGGGGGTACTAATGGGAAAAGTAAAGTAACCAGGGAATGAAAGTGGAAAGTGAAGGATCAAAATACACAAAAATTCACTGGCTTTCTTTGTTATATTAAATCCCAGGCTACAGCTACAAAAAATGCAAGACTGTGGGTTTTTTTCCATTATCTAAAACAGCAATTATTTTTCTACAAAATACAATTTTAATAAATCAAGGTCTGAACTGTATTTAAAGAAATGAGAAATCACGCAGCAATAATTGCTTGTGTGCGAGACTATCAACAAAGCTTGCTTAGTAAACAATGCTTATTTTATTGTGGAAAACTGTCTGAAGAGATGTAAGAATGGATCAGCATTAATATGCCAGAGAAACATTCTTCTGTGTGCAGAGTAAGAATGAAACAGAAGTTGTGCCTTTAATGCCCTGAGCTAACTACTAAAGGGCTGCTAAAATTGATCAAGGCATATATTTCAATGCTATTGTATGTAGTACAGTTTAAAAAAAAAAAAAAAAAAAAAAAAAAAAAAAAAAAAGGCTAAAAACCTGATTTTTGTAATTATTCCCCACTGTTTAAAAAGAAATGATCACATTAAAAACAAAAACTGATGCAAAAAACCTGTTAAACATTCGTGATGAGTTTAACAAGCTTAAGTTTTTCTCCCAGTAGCAATTCTACGAATTAAAAAAGACAATATATTTATGCCAAGTCCTCCATGTCTTTTCAATGAGACTGAAACAAATAAGAAATAAAGATATAAAATACTAAAAACTATTACTACTGACAGTGAAAGATTCTGTGCTTTTACCTTCCAAGTTGCTACTTAAGAAGACATGACTCCTGGAAGAAGCAACCAAGTTCTACATAATTTGACATAACCTTATTCCACAGTGAATTTTTAACTTAATCTCCTACTGCCAAGCTGTATTTAAACAAAGGAAATCTGCATTTTTACTGAAAGCACAGTCGGATGCAATGCATTCCTTTTAAAATGTAAAGCCTTCAAACAGTTTTATCCCATTATTTTGCTTAATACCAAGCAGGTTTACCCACAGTTCTCTAATCATGAATAGCCCAGTTTCTACAACACCTACTTATCTATTTAAACACTTTGCATACTGACTGTGGCTTGATGCTTTGGTGAAGAAGGGGAAGACTCATTTTCAGGAAAACTCGCCTTAGAAGCAGCTGATGATTCCTATAGAATTCAAATAGGCAACATAAGTTAATATATTTCTTACAATTCTTAAACATTTTTTAACCCTAAATATACCTTTTCTCTCTCTCTTTACACACATGCATTAGGAAAAGATGTATTTTTAAAGCATTCACTATATTCTCAGACAGGTATAATATAAACTGGCTTACTAAACACTGTTCTTGCAAGATTTACCGACAAGATTCAAACCGGGTTAATTAGTACATATTCACTTGAAAAAAATGTTAATACATACTGTATCAGCCTAATACAAAGCTTTCATCCTTATTAAGGGGCAGATTTTTTGGTATGACATCGCTACCAAATTATGAAGAACATTCCTAATACCAGCTTATTACAGGGCACCACATAATACCAAGATGTTAAAGAATATATCATGTCTCTGTGTGGTTAGTAAATACAAGATGAGTACAACAAACTGGTATACATTTAGAAAAACATATAGCAGCTCTATCAATTTTTTTAAGTCATTATCATTAATATCCTTATAAGCAAAGTCTGAAAATATATAGAGATTCAGGTTTTGTTTTAAATTAGACTTTAACTATAGATCAAAAGAAGAAAGTACAAAAATCTCTGAAAATCTTGAAAATCTGCCCATCTGGAAAAGAAAAGGGAATGTGCATTTCCTCTGAAGTAATGATTGCTTTGCACAATTACATCACTTCAAAATCTGGTAAAGAATTTCAAACAGAAGAAAAACATCCCTTGTTCTCAGTTACTGTTAACACATTTTTGCCCCCTCCCTCTTTTTAATTCCCTTGATAGCCCTCCCAAATTCAGTTTGCTTTTCCAGCATTACATAATGCTCTGCACACTCGTGCTTTAAAATTCACTTGTAAATCTATGTAGGGAAGTGGCACACTTAGTTCTTTTCATAGCATAATAACAAAGAACATTAGCACTTCTAAGAACAGCCTGAATACTTCATATTTTCAGATGCCCTTAGGAAGGAGAAAAAAAAAGTTCAAATTGAGAAAGTCAATGCTGTCCCTCCCAGGAAGGTATTTTTTCCTCTTCTTACCAAACTTTTTAGCTGATGGCTATATACAAATATGTGTTGCAGCCAAAAAAAAACCCAGTTAATAAGTACTTTTGGTATCAACAAATTTTCATCCACCATGGCAACCCATACCTTCATTCTGACACATTTCAAGCACTCTTTTGACTGGCCTGTTTTCATAGAATTGACTTGTGTTGTTTTTCCAGTATAAACAAAGAAGGAAAACAAAAAGAAAGCAGCTTCCCCAGGAGTCAGCTAAAAAGCTAAGTTGGGGTTGATGTGCCTATTCAGACAAATACCAGTTGCTTTCCTTTCTATTTTGTTCTGAATTTGAGATAGCTCTCATACACTAAGCAACTCCTGATTGAAAAATCCAGTATTTGTGGTCATCAACTATTCCCCTTCCACATATTAAGCTAAAGCAGAGTAAGATAACACAGCAGCTGCCAGTGGTAATAAAACAAGTGCATCAATGCACTGAATAAACTTTGTCTTTCCACAAATCATTAGTGTCTTGCTCTGCTGCACATTTTTAATTTTCTCAGAGCACTAACATTGTGCTTTATATTAACTATAGTCTCCTTACTATTATAACAATGCATGCTACCTCTGTGTTTTGAAGTTGTTAAAGGCACTTCAGGCTACTGACTTAGACTTCAAAGATGTGGCCCATACATAGTTCCATTTGGTTTCCTTTTGCCACTAGGTACTTGTACACTTTCATGTTTGCTTCACTACATTTAAGATCTTAGTTTTGAACATAAGGTCTTGAAGACCCACTTACTCAATGTTTTACCAGAGCTTCTTCATTCAGTGCATTGCTACATAAAGGTCACTAGAAAATATGATAAAATTTTATGCCAAAATATGAAAAGATAAGTCTTCCTTTAAAAGTGAGGCCAAAACTTTTAAGTTATCTCCATCAGAATTCTTCATACCTGCGAAGGATAACCTGTACATGAGGCTAGAAGTATCCAGTCAGCTTTGATTTATCTAGGCTGTCATACAAGATCCACAACAAACTTGATAAAGATAAATGAGAAACAGTAGGGAGGGGACAAAAGCAGTAGAGGAATCTCAGACTCACTCAAGCTAAACTCATTCATAGAGGTGCAAAGTCTCCAGCCAAGCATGGTCCACTGCCTCCTCAGTACCATGAAGGATATATTCTAAACCAATAGCTCAAAAGCTTAAGATCAAATCCAATAAATTCTATTCTGAGGAACTAAGTCAACTCCTGACAACCCACTCATATACTCCATTTCACCAAGGAAAGCCATTAAAACGTTCTGGAAACAACAAGCTGGGTACATAACACTAGGGGCACCAGATTCATTTTCATTACAACTACAGTGTTTTGTCCATTCAAGTCTGTCTTCAAAGTAAGTTATCAAATAGTCCTCGTTTTCAATGTTATACACAATGATACAACAGAATTTCAGAAATTCATGCATACTCATTCCTGTTACATTAAATACCTTACACAACATAAACAGTTGGCACTCCAGCATGCTTTTTAACTTGCCCCTACCTTATCGTTGGTGTCCAAAACAATTGTGCTGTGCCTCCACTTAGTTAAAACTATTGGTTCTTGTAGCCTCCTGTCCAGACTTCTACTCTTTATTATATCTCTCTGCTGCTGGGGTGAAGCATTATACTAAAGAAAAGAAAAATCAAACTATAAGTAGAATCTAATTCATGCAAATAAGCCTTGGAAATACCATTCATACACCTTAACAGTGTCAATAGATGCTTAAAAGGCAAATATCTTTAGTGTTTCATTACGCTGTTTCAATATGCACAAGACCAGTAAAATACTCCCCAGGTAAATGGATCTTGCATTCATGAGAATGGAATTTGGTAGTTCACGAAGACAGAAATGTATTAGTTGTCACTGCAAAAATTAACCTCCGAGACTGCACTGACTCCGCTTTGAGTTCAGAACATTTACACTCCCGTGACAACAGCTACTTTAAAATTGAGAGATTTAAGCAACTCTCAGTTTGTTCCCTTGTTAAAATCAAAAGCTGAGCCATCATTCACATTGCAAGGTATCTAGTACTAGTTTACCTTCTTGTTATCCACTCTGCAGATGCTGCTACAACTCAAACTGTGGCAGCAAGCTAAGCAATATGCAGCAAAATGGCCCACCTGTATTACAACTAAAATCTCAACAACTGAAATCATGTCTAAATTGCAGAAGGTTACCAAAAACAATTTCCTTGCAGCAGTGCTAAAACACTTAAGTGGGCAATCCAAATACATTTCTTAGTATGAAACAGAACTGTTTATTACAGAAATATATACATACTTCAGTGACACTGGCAAATGTTATTTATGGAAATCCTCCATGCATTTTTCATTTGAGTAACTCGAGAAATTTAACTGTCAAAGATATATAGTGAATTTCAGTCTATGTTAAGAGTTAGGATATGAGTACAAGCCTATATACAGGTGATTTGTATTTAAAAGGTGCTTTTGATTCCATCACAAGTTAGCAGGAGTTAACTTAGCCAATAGACAACCTCATCTCAAAAGAGAGAGATCTGTAAAGTAATACAAAAATCTACTTTTACAAAACAGATTTAACAAGAAAGCAAAGCAACAGTATATGGAGCTCATTAAAAAAGCACTGATAACAATTCAGGAACACTGAGCTATATGCATCTTAGCAGCTTAAATAATTTGCATTGGTGATACAAACAGTGCTAGTAAACTGTCAAGTATTTCAAGGGAACATTTGACATTTTTGCCCCATTTTCCCACAACAGAGGTGTCAAGTAAACATTTTTGTACTCATTTATGGTTTTGTTTGGGTTTTTTTTTTTGTTTTATTCATTACAAAATAACAGAATACACTAAGGGCAAGGGGGGGGAGAAGAAAAAGCTGATTTAATTCTAGGCTCAAGACAAGCCTCCACTTTTAAAATAAATGGATTGATCTCTGATCTCCTAAGACAGCCCTAGTCAGGTACAGATACTGTTTCAGACTCTACATTATCTAACTGAATTATCCAACTTCCAGACCAGGTAGAGGCCACAGACCAGAGAGAAGTATCCAGAGCTACAGCCTTGTCAGGTCAGATAATACTACCCTTGCTACTGTCTGGTCTGCTCCATCCAATCTCCTTAGCTCAAAAAGCCTTGCAGAACAGTTTCAGGTCAGATTCACTTTTTGGCACACTATAGGACTCCTGCCTGCAGAGCTGTTGCCTCACAGGCATTTACAGTTTTATTTCCCACTGCTTGACAGCAATGACAAGGAACTAGGCTAGGCTCTCCTTCCCCTGCAAAAAAAGTTTTATTTTTTACATAACTCTAAACATGTTGCTGCAATCTTGAAGACAGACATTAGGCAAGGGCCTTGCACTACAATAGAACTGACTCATTTGAGACTTCTCATTGCCTAGTAGGGCCATCTCTGCTATACCATGTGCCTTAACAGCATCTTATTAGGGTGCAATGTTATTTTCTTAGTTCTAAAGCTTTTGGTAATGTAGCACACAACTCCAAACATACACAATACTGCTCCTTGAAAATCCTGCAGAAACTCAAATTTGTCCCACTACATTAACCCCTCCAGTATGTCACCTCAGTTTGTTCCCCATTTCATTGGGCACATCTCCCACCAGGAAGGGAGGGCATCAGCAAGTTTTTCATACTCTGCATGCACCAAATAACACAGACTTGTTGTTATAACAGCTCTTGGCACAGGGTAAGCACACCAGTGGTGTAAATTTAGGTCACAAAGTGTTATTTTCATTGCTGAATTTGTTCAATGCCTTCAGGAGCCACTTAAAAGCTTTCTTTGCCTCAGTACAAAATTTTCCAACCCTCTCAACTGTTTGAGTGATTTATATTTAATTTTAACCTGATACATGGCATGGCTCAAGGCTCTATCCTAGCCTAATTGTGACTGAAATAAATGTAACACCTCTAAGCTATTTGTAGCAGTTGCCCCCGTTCTTATGGAGATGACACAGATCTGTCAGCTTTAAGAAGCAGAAAAAAAGAATCATCTTGGTTTACATTAACACCCTCAGCCAGATGAAAGGAACTGGGTGGGTAAAGACAGAAAAGACCTGCAATCAATAGACAGTGAAAGTTAGTAAAGACCTCAAGTTCAGCATTTTACTCTACCTTCTGTTAATGAGAGACCCATACAGCAGCATTTTAAAATATCCTGATTATCTTAGTATCCGTTAGCACTATATACTCTGTTATTTCCAGTTGTCCCAACAGACTGTCTGAAATTGAAGAAAAACCACTCTGAAGTGCTACTTGTGTCACTGGCCTTGAACAGATTTAAGCCTCCATGTTACACCTTTTGCTTTTCTTATAAACTAAATCAACAGCATGTTTTTCTTAAACCCACATAAATAAAATAGAATATTTTTTGTCTTTTTGAGGACTTCATCCCTACCACTTCCCTTTTTTTCCTTCAGGGAAAGAAGATTTCTCATTCTCTGCCACAGGATGCCTGGGTTTCAGCAGCTAAAGGCATCAGCTGTGCTGAAAGGAACGGAACTTGTACAAAATGAGCAGACCACTGGGACAAGCAGCACGATCTCATATAGAAAAGTTACTGAAGACACCTCTGGACAACCCACTACACTCCCTTTGCTGCCTTGGAACATCCACTGCTTCACCTTCTAGCACCCAGGATCACTGAAACTGTCGCTCTTTAAAAAAGAGTCCAAGTCAGCACTGAATGCCACAGACCTTGCTGCATGCCCAAGAAAAAGCTGGGGGCACTTTCCCCTGCCCTCCTTCTTACTTGAGAGGAGGGGATGGGAACCACCAAACACCAGGACCAGACTAGGCCTCTTGAATACAAATATACACATTAAATAGAGAGAAAAAAAAAAAAACTAACTGCCTTTTCTTCCTTATCTCAGGTTGATCATATCACTTGCACTTTTGTCCTTAAAAACCATCTAGGTTCTTATGTCAGCTGAGACTGCTTCAACTTTCATCACACAATCCCAGATTTTATGAAAGAATGTGAAGATGATTCTCTGTTGCTAAAGATACTGTTCAGTGCATTTACTTAGGGTAGATACTAATGCCAACACACATGGTATGTCACCTCAAATCAAGTACCACAGCTCAGAACAGGACACATTTACTGTAAGACAACCAGGCCCTATTTACACATTCTCATTTTTACTTTTCTTTCACCATTTGATGGCATGGTACCTTCCTGACATTCCCTACATAGTGTTTTATCGGAATTTTTCAGATAGCATGCTCTGTTTAACAGCATTCAGGTCTCCAGTAGGAAAAAGCATTCATTTGAACTTAAAATTAAAGTCCCTGAGCCCATACTCAACATTCACAGCACACAAAGTGAATTAACAGACTACTGGTCTATTAAAACTGCCAAAAATGAAGCTTCTCTATCTAGCACTTCCTCTGTGAATACAGCAAGGGGAGCTAGTGCTGCAGGAACTTGTGAGAAGAAAAAGCTTAACTGTAATATCACAGTCTGTAAATATTAACACCAAAATTATTCGTTCACTCAAGATGCTTAAATACACACATATTCTTTCCAAGTCTACTCTTGGAGCAGAGCTCAGTCAAAGGATGGCCAAGCATCACGCTGTTATGCTGAGTATCAGCCCAGGAACACATTTTGAAAATCTGAGAGACCATTATGCCAGTTTTAATTAGGTTATCCTCTCTGCTTCCCCCTTAATTATTAATTTATTATATAGATTTCCTCATTTTTGTCATTTTGATACATTACCTTTTCTTAAACTCCAGAATTCTCATTCCTGAAATCAACTTAACTTCCCCTCCCCTCCATAATACTGATTTTCTATTTGCTTAATTATAAAACAAATTAGAAAACTGTTTCTTAAATAGGACTGTAGCCTTTCTCAACATGATCAGGGAATAAGCAATAAGCATATTTTATCATTGCAATCTATGTAAGAATGAACTTTTATTTGCTAGTTTATTTATTTTTATTTTAGGAATTGTCAACAACTGACAACTGAATGCAGCAGAATGCATAGGCAAAATCTGTCTTTTTTAAGATGCAGTACAAACTATGGTTAACAATCTTTGTAAATTTTAAAGAACAATTCTTCTCTTCCATCTCAAGAAGATGGGTCACACTCATCATAAACCTTGATAGACTTCTCCACAGTTGTCAAAGATACTTCATTTGAGATGTCATTTTTAGCCAGAGGCATACAAATACTCCTAGATGTTATCAAAATGTACATGATTGGATGACTTTCTATGAGACTGTCTAAAGTAATTTGGTTTTTAACTGTCTCCCCAACACACTCCCTCAATTATGTAACACAAGCACAAGAACACTGGAAGTGTTATCCTTGAGCATGTTCACATTTACAGTTAATGCCATAACAGTAAAGATTTTTGATGTTATTTTATTAGCTCAGCTAATATGCTATTTCTAGTAATCTGTTGTCAATGTTTAGTTCTAATAAAGCCCAGATTAAAAAGGACCATCTAACAAAAGGATTATCTTCTTTTTTTTCCTTTAACAGCATTACATGAGCATGCCATTCCATCACTTTATTACACAGCAAATTTTGGAAGAGTTTTCAATACAGATTATTTTCCCTCAAAGCAGTTCTGCAGTCTGTGTTCTCCTTCCAATTCATTTTTTCTGAAGCACATTCGGAATCAGCTTTGGTAAGATTCTGAGAGACTAATCTTCAATCAAGCTTCAGCTACTCACTAGTGTAACATCTCTGCTGTATGTTCTTCAGATATATAGTTATATAAACTAGCTAAAGCTTTTGCTGAAATATTAAATCTGTTTCAGAACATTTGAAGTCAAAAGCTAAGGACTTCTTGAAACACATACGCTCTTGGGCCGTGAATCCAAGAGTCAATTGCTCATTTACTTCTCTTAAACTTGTATTTGCTGCCACCCAAGATTCAGCAGTTTCAAGAAGGAATTCAGGAGTACATTCTGCCCAAATGGCTCATGAAAAATTATTTTCAAAGATGCTTTTCATATAAACAAGAAGCAAAGCACATCAGATCACAAGCACCAAAACAGAGGCCATTCTTTTTCATGTCACTCACCTTCGGTAACTCCCATTCTGACCGGGAACCATCAGCACTGTAGTAGTATGGTCTACCTTGTTCATCTGCGTGTTTTATCCACTGTAGAAAGAAATGTGATGATAGGAAAGATATTCAGAGTGACAGTCATAACATAGTAAATCTTTGATACTTGGGATTTAAAGTTAATTTTTAATGACGTGCCATCCACTTCAGCAGCATCTAGTGCACATCCTCCATTAACTAACCAAGGTTCCTTAGCAAGGAATGCAACAGTTTTCAGCTTCCTGAATTGGGTTCACTAGTATTTTTTCCTTCTGTAACTCCTCAGAAAAAAAGAGTCCTGCAATATCACACAAGAGACTGTGATAAACAGATGTTTTTGAGGATGGTGTATCTCATTCTTATCAACATTAAGATGTCAATTTAAGGAGGCACAATCTTCGCACCATAGCTACGTAAGGATTTTATACATAAAATTACAGAATTACAGGAAGCTCAACCAGCAACTGCTGGTACTTTAAGAGGTAATTGCAATTCTTGACAAAACATCAACAGGAACACAAGACAAAGTTCCTAAATAAATCATGAAGATAATATAATTTCTGTAACTTCTATATGCCATCTCACAATCAAAGAGGTAAACCTATGACAACTGTGACTAGTTATGCAGAAAGAATTAAAACCAGCAAAGTTCTACAAGATCATTGCATAAAAAATATGCACAGAAACATCACAGCAAGACTCTTGGCTCAAGCAGGTTTCACAAGATTGCCTTCAAATAAACTGTGACAGGAAACACTGTTTTACATTAAGCCCAGTGCAATTTAAAAATGTATTAGTATTTGCCAAAACATAGGTATGTGCTCTACAGATATTTAGCAGAAACAGATTAAGCAGGATACAATTCTAGAACCGATGTAAAACTCAATCATTTGAAAATTTATTTCAAAAAAACATTTCCATATATCAACTGGAAAAGAGGTGGCACTATAATACAGTAAACAAATTACTGTTTCAATTAATACATTCTTAAGTTAAAGAAACTAAATGCAACTTCAGTGAACAATCAGAAAAATGAACTGCTTTACAAATATAAGCACATACTGTCATTAATCCTAAGTGGGAGAAACTTTTATGACATACCCAGAATCACAGCAAATTGTCACTAGCAGTTAGATACTTAGTATAGAACACAAATCTGCTGATATAGCTGTGGTGTAAGAAGTCTGTCTATATCTGAAAGGAATACTAAAAATCTCTAACAAAGTAAAGGATTAAACCAATAGAGCAGCATTTTTTTAGTTTGAAACCATCCTATCTGGAAGGCCTACGTAGACTAGAACACCACTTAATGGATAGTAAGAAAAACATTATCTTGGTATGAAGTTCACTCCTGACACGTAACCAAGAGAATGGGGGGAGGGCAGAATTGAAAAAAATTATACATTATAGATTAATTTAATACAATTGGATATGCAACTGGAAATAAGAAAACTTTTTTCTGAATAGTAAAGAATATACAAAGAATTAAAAAGTCAGTTCAGTTGCTGAAGTTTTGTGCATATTTTAAAAAAAGGGAGATACTGCTGAGGAATGCTTTTCACTTCTAGAAATGAAATCTACATTTCCAACAGTGAAATAGTGGAAAAGATTTAGAGTGTGATGAGAAGAAGGAAAAAGTACCTTTTCATTAGTATAGTCATTGGTATATAAGGTTTGACCATGTTCATCCAACTCTTCTGACCAACCCTTTGGAGGAGAACCATACTGACTATCTGACTGGCTGTAACAAGAACTGTGGTCGTTTTCTTCTGATGAAAGATGCTACAAGTAGTCAGAAACATACAAGGCAGTTTTGAGAATGAAAGCGCTTTAGAATCTGAAAGATCAAAGATTATTTGACTAGAAAGAGAGTATTAATAAATTGCAGGGAGTTCACATTTTTATATGTTACATCAGAGAATAAGAGAAGCATTTTTATAGTACAGAAATATTTTATAATTGCTAGGCAATTTAAAATATTTTCAGAACAACTGGTTTGTATTGATACAATGTTTTTAATTCTACCATACCAGGCTTCAGCTACTCAAACTTAAAACTCCAATGGTTTTGCCAATCCAAGTTTTATTCCCACAGATTTACATTACTGAATGATGAAGAGAGTTAGCTTTAGTAATCTGAATCACCCCTAAAAACCCAGGAGACCTGCTACATTGGTTTTCTGTCAACATCCCAGCTTCCATAAGTAAATCCTTTCTTCCCATATCTGGAAAGACAATAATCGTTAAGAACAACTTGAATCTCCAGTTCCAGCACTTTACAGTACTTGAGCAATGCATCCTAAAAATTAGGTATTTTCGCTCTCCTCCTTCCAACTCCAACGTGCATGAAAAAGAGCAATTCCAAAGCAAAGCTTTCTATCAACTGCAGGCACAGCTGGCTGAGGTCTAAGATTATAATTGGCATCTACCTTAAGAAAATAATGTAACAAGTTTGATGTGCAAAGTAGAAAAAGACTATTCCATGCACACAAACAATGAATGTTCCCTAGTACACCTTGCTCACCTCTATTCATCTTCTATGATTTCCTCGATAACGTATTGTTGTTATAATTCAAGGTATCCTTTCTGTGCATTAAAAAAAAAAAAAACCTCTCCCAAAAACTCCCTCTCCCTGCATTCATCTCTCACAACAGTATCTCTGCACTAGTCCACTGAGCATTTAGTGCAGCTTTCCTTTCACACTGTCTTGGATCCTCAGCTAGTAGGAGGCCTTACACTTAAGAGGGAACATACCCTCCTATTCAGAAACGGGTAGATACTGACTGTGGTTCAGTAACACAAGTACAAGGGTTTTGAGGAAAACTAAAAAGCAAAAGAAAGGCAGAATTTCAGTTTTAAACTAGAAAAAAAAATATCCTGAAAAGCTTAAATCTTACTGATAAAATATCCAGCTATCAGAAACTCATGTGTTTTGTAAAACTCAGTTTTTAGATACATGTTTAGTGACATTTCCAAATTATTACATTGGACATTATTACATTATTACATGGGGTTTTGGTGTTGCCTTTCTCAGTACCTTATCACTTGTGCAACACAAACCCCCTACATTGACACAAGCCATCTCACCAAGCATAGCAAAACCCATGGGTAATTTTTGGGATCATCAATAAAGTAATATGACAACTGTAACTAGCCTCTACAACCTACTGAATATAAGCATCTAAATTCAGGATTAAACAATACTACCTTTCTTGCATGTGGGATAACATGAACACCTGAAGCGTCAATTTCTAGCCACCGGATTAAACCAACCAACCAAACAAAAAAACAAATAAGTCCCATTTTTACACCTAAAGAATTAAGACTGGGGAGTCGATAAAAGTGCTGTCAGTCTCATTTGAACTACTGTTTTATAAGATAGCTATATTGTATACACATATTTAAGTTTACAGTATGTTTTAATGGTTAAATATTAAGTGCATTGACATTTGTTCAATTAAAGCAGTAGACTTTGGACATTTTTATTATTACTACTAAGATGAATTATGACTGAATAAACATCATGCATTTGTATTTGCCTGTTCCAAGCAACTCCTGACACTGAGGAAGCACTGTACACATGTAGAACTAAACCAGAAAACTTTAAAATTATCCCAGAAAAGCCACTGTTTTTCAGTAAGAACTGTTAATCTATTTATCTGTTAATCACAAATCTCTTTCCTAATCACAAAGTTCTAAGACCATCTGTAAGTTATTTCATGTTCTAATATACTAGACATATATTAGAATATATTCACAGTTCTCATTTTTATATCACCTTGCTATTTTGCTACTTAATACAATACAAGCTCCAAGGACACATCAGTAGAGCTACAACTAGCATTTAACCTTCCTGCATACGCTCTTTTAGTACTAAATCTAAAGAGAATGAGCACAACAAACTAGTGTGTAAAAGCCAAATTAAATTCATTACAATTAATTAAATCTGGTTTTATTAATTATCAAGACATATCTGCTCTAAGTCTCAAGCCTCAGATCTCAACCTTTTTTGCTTTAAGTACTCAGAGGACAAACAAAATGGTGAACATGAGCAGTGGAATGTAAAGTATACTCCCAACTGCAGAACACAAAAGAAAGAAAAAAAAAAGCAGCCTCAAAATCAACACATAACTGCTGGAAAGTAGATTGACATGACCTTGCAATCTATGTCTCCCTGGACTCAAACTTTGATACCACAGTCAGAGAGGACTCAAATTACTTAAGGAACTTGGGCTACTGAAAACAAACTTGTGTCTAGTTAAAAATTGGTCAAAACATGCATCATCCATTGGTTTTACAAAGACTGAATACTTGATGGATATAACTGTCTGAAGGCCTATCTGTGATACCTGGAGCATCACAAATAAACAGAAGCAGCAAGTTGAAATTATTTACGGGCAGTAAAAAATTAAGAATCAAGCTTTCTGAACATGCAACCATGTACTGTATTCGTGGTACAGAGGTATGAGTAAGAGTCATTAGCAGATGGGGAGAGAGAAAAAACTGGAAATCCTTCCATGAAAAGAAGGAAGAACAATAACAATGACAACAGAAAACCAGCGCTTGCTACAAAGGCCAAGTTGCTACTCAAAAAACCAATCACCTGATTCAGACTAAACCTGGAATCTTATCTAGCAAAAAGGACAGCCAGTGAGAAATTAACAGGCCATCGTCAAAGATACCAAAGTGACAGCCACAAATACTTCATCAGTTTATCTGTTTCTGACAAGTATTACCTACCACCCTGTGGCAAGAAAATTTGTTTGAATGCTTCCAGATGTCAGGGTCCTTTTTCCTTTTCTCTCCTGTTTCTGGCACTAAAGTCCCAGAGACCAACTTCTACAAGAGGACTTCCAACAATCTAAACTTCCGAACAGCCCACAATTAAATTTTAAAGCTCAACAACGCAATGGTGCTGTGGAGCTCCATTAAGTCCAATTTTGACTCCAGAACTATGGAGCTCTCTACATCCACCTTAATTCCTGTCTACAAAAGTACTTTCCTCTGAAAGAATCATATTTAAATGTACTGCCACTGTATTAACCAAGCAGTAGCAAACACCTGCATATCCCAGTCTTTGTTCTATTGTGTATTTAACTGATATAGATAAAAACAAGTAATTCCCCTTCCCTTTTTCAATGCATCCCTATAAATCCTACTTATAGAAGCACTGTCACACTCCACCTCCCTTCTCCACCTTCTTCTCCAAAAATGTGCTGACTACACTGAGAAAAAGAACACACTCTACATCAGAGAAAATTTGATAGTAGTCTTATGCTACTAGCATTTAGGGAACTATTAGTTTCAAAATATATTTGTTTTCCTTTACTTTGAAAAAAAGCTGCAGGATCTGCTGTGGAACCATAAGGCATTTATTTTTACAGCTTACTACTCTTGTATCCAGTTCATATACACATTCTTGTACACGAAAGCAACTGAAAAGGACAAATTAAGACACTCCTTGACACCTTCAAGCTTAGCAATAACAAAACAGCATTTATATGCATTACAATCCCATTGCTTGTGATCTCAGAAAGAACTACCTCATGATCTGCATGGCTGTGGGAATCCCCTTTATTAATGCTTGCATCTCGGGCCCACCGCGGTGGTTTCCAGGTTCGTTCCTGTGATCCTCTGTTGTAGTAATAACAGCGTCCTGTCGTGTCTTTATGGGTTTCCCATTCCCCATTTATTTGGACCGGAGCACTTGTAGGTAGTGGTGGAAGGGCAGACTGAGATATTTTCAGTTCTTGTAAATTAGCATAAACTGGTGAATCAGGCCTCCCTTGACTTGGTGGAGTAGTTGGCTATTGAGAGAAGAAATGTATTGTTAAAGAGCAAATGAATTTTAGAATGCTCTCTTACAAATCAGGAGATACAGTAGTAAAACAAACCAACAAACTCCCTTTTCTGTTGTTAAGTACAAAAGCACAAAGGACAGCCACAAAATGCTGAGGCATGGAAACATTAGGTTGTTACCTGTAAGGTAAATATCACAAGCTATATTTATTTAATACTGAAACAATTTTTCAGCATTTCTCCAGATGACAGGTGACAATTATGTATTACAGTGGATTTGATATACACTGGAATATTCATCAAAATAATTATATGCTTGCCATGTTGAAAAACTTCAGCTTTAAAATTCAGGGATTGCTCAGTAATGTGGTATTGTTCAAGACAAAAGGTGGCATTTCTGAGATGTCACTTTTTATGCAAAGATGGTTTCACAACCTTTCCCCCTCACTGCTAATAGAGATGATTGTGAATGTACAGCAGCACTTTTATCTTCTCAGCAAGATCTAAACAAGACAGTTCTGTTGGAAAGATGAGAACAATGTTGTGACTAAGAAACACTGGAAAACACCTGGATGCTTTATCTGTATGCCTTTCCAAACAGATGCTTATGCAAAAATATTTTAGGCAATAGTAAGTGTTCTGATTACCACTCTCTTGTTATAGACATTAAATAGATATTCTTATTTACCTAATTTTATTCATATACATGCACACAAGTAGAACAACAAATATCTGCAAGAAAACAAAACACTAATGACAATTTCTCATTAAAAAATAGTTTGCTAACATACAGGCCAGCAGAAAGTATGGTTAAAAGTCCAGGGCACATATTGAAACATTGGTATTTTCCAATAAGTCTCTAAAGTGTTTAGGAGAGGAACAGACTTTCAGATGTTCAATTTTTTAAAGTATAATATATGTATACAGGGACAATTAAAGAGCACATGCTTTCAGAAGAACTGTGATTACGAGATTGTTATTAGATCAAACTAAAGAGTTTCTTGGTAATGCACAGTCATTTCTCTCTTTTAGGGCACATTATTTAGGCACTCTTACAGAAGGAACCTCATCTAAATTATATTATACCTTCTCTCTGCCTGGTTTTAATTCAGAAGCTTTGCTGGAGGCAAGTCCATGTGCCTCTAGTAGCATTCTTTCACAGGAAAAAAGAACATAGTGCATTACATAAAAGAGCTTTTATAATGTACTTTTAAACATTAAAATCATATGCTGCTAATCTAGGCCACATCTCATCATAAATTATCAGGGTTTGCTCAGGCAAGACAGTATATTGTACCACACAATCAGATATAAACTGATTGCACCATAGCTAGAACCAAATATGGGCAATATCCACAACCAAAAGGGGAAACAGCTAGAGAGGAACTTAATGAGATTAAAACGGGCATGGACTTGCTTTGTGCACCCTTAAAAGAGAGAACACAGCTTACTAGATATAGCAAGTACAGTATGTCTAAGGCAAACCACAAGGGGGAGGGATGAAATTGCAGCACTGGCAAAATCAGAGAGCCAAGACCAACTAGTATCCTTCTCTACCTAAACCAAACTAGAGAAAAAAAAAATCTCTTACAAAACCTGATGAACAGTCAAAGACTGTTTTTCTACTATCCAAGTCTCCCTTCTCCCCATTTTTTTTTATTTTTTTTTTTGAGGGGTATAGAATGGCTGCTTTTGGTAAAATTGACCTTGAGAGCACTAACAGCATAAAGAACATGACTATGAATGAAACACCACCCCACTGTCTTCAGGGATAAATCTCTGTTTCTCAGGATGCTGGGACAGTAATCTCAACCAACTTTCAGAGGCTGCTCAAAGCCTCTCTGAGATCTTTGTTCAAGTGTGCTCATAAATTATCAGGGTTTGCTCAGGCAAGACAGTATATTGTACCACACAATCAGATATAAACTGATTGCACCATAGCTAGAACCAAATATGGGCAATATCCACAACCAAAAGGGGAAACAGCTAGAGAGGAACTTAATGAGATTAAAACGGGCATGGACTTGCTTTGTGCACCCTTAAAAGAGAGAACACAGCTTACTAGATATAGCAAGTACAGTATGTCTAAGGCAAACCACAAGGGGGAGGGATGAAATTGCAGCACTGGCAAAATCAGAGAGCCAAGACCAACTAGTATCCTTCTCTACCTAAACCAAACTAGAGAAAAAAAAAATCTCTTACAAAACCTGATGAACAGTCAAAGACTGTTTTTCTACTATCCAAGTCTCCCTTCTCCCCATTTTTTTTTATTTTTTTTTTTGAGGGGTATAGAATGGCTGCTTTTGGTAAAATTGACCTTGAGAGCACTAACAGCATAAAGAACATGACTATGAATGAAACACCACCCCACTGTCTTCAGGGATAAATCTCTGTTTCTCAGGATGCTGGGACAGTAATCTCAACCAACTTTCAGAGGCTGCTCAAAGCCTCTCTGAGATCTTTGTTCAAGTGTGCTGTTTCTGTATTTGCCTCCCCATCAGCTTGCAGAGCTGCATTTCTCACATAAACCATCCTGCCATTAAACCACCAGGCTCATCATTTGAAGCAACAACATACACCTGCACTGGGGAACACAGAAACCTTCAGGTTCTTCCTCTATTTCAAGGAAGTGGCAAAAGCAGCACCAACAAGCCCCCTGGCTGCTGCAGCAGGAGGCCGGTGGCTTGCACAGCACTTGCATGCCTCCTCCTAAAATTACTCTTTCACTCATGACAATAGGAAAATAAGGAGGCTTTGCTGTCTGGCCTGCATTTGCCAGTTACTTTTTTGTTTTAAGACAATAAAGTGCCATTATTAGAAGAACAGTTCTATGTAATAATAAAGTTGTTTTCCAAAGAGCCTATGACACAGAATGCTTTTAGCATTCTTTTTAGAACATTTTCTCAAGCAACACACAGGAACATGGCTCAGAAGTTTCATTCTGAGGTTTCAGCAGTATAACCAGAACAACTCCAGAGGAAACTGTGGGGCATGTACTGTGCTAAGCCAGGACTGGAAGCTTACAGCCAAGGTACTGCCACATAGCTCAGGCAGTACACTAATTTAAGTTTAAAACAGTAATATGATATGAAAGCATAATGAGGGATTTTCTTCTGAATACTTAGTACTTCCAAACTCAATATACCAATTTCTGGTTTTCAAAGCAAAGCCGGAATTTCCATCCTGAGCAACAAACAAGACAGGTTACTGCCCTGCCAATAAAGCCTTTAAGTGCTTTGATTCCCTGTTGCTCTCTTCTGGTAGTTTTTTTTGGGGGGGGAAGAACTGCGAAATTTTTGAAAGGCACCTGTAAGTTACTGCTTTCAGCAAAGCATAAAAAAAATGCAAAGCCATCAATCTAACAACAACACACAGCTTGTTCATAAGTACTTCTTTGAGGAATACAACTTTCTTATCTGGAGCTATTTTAAATAACCATACAGCATACAGTAATACTTCCTCATACCTCTAGCCACGCAATGAGCTACGTTGTTGTGTCTACAATAATGCTCGGCTAAATAGCACCCAGCCTTATTAAGGCAAACTTTGTGAAGAATTTCTCATTTATTGAAGAGAAAAGCAGCTTTTGGAAAGCTTAAAGTTTCCTGAAATAACTTTAGTGTACTTTCATGTGGATCAATGTTGGCAGGAAGGCAAATCCTCTCCCCTCACATGTGGTAAGGAGAGTCCTGCAGAGAGCTCCCACTGGATGTCCCTGCATAGCTCTGGGGCCCTGCACCATCCTGCCTTTTCATTTCACATTACTGTTTAAAATTCAAGACTATGTTCTGCAAAAGCCTTCAACTGTTTCAAGATAAAAACCATAATAATTTAACTGTATTCCTTTCATCTACCAAACCTATTACTCATTAGCAGTATATAAATTCAAATAAAGCATTACCTATATCAAAATAGTTTCTGAGAACTTCCATGACTCTTTCCAAAACCAGAGACACACAGTCAAGGGAAGCATAAATATAACACCAAGCAGCTCTGTATGCACATAAGGACTTTCTGCTAGAACTTCACTCCTCAAGCTTCATTTTTGCACTGTCAAGCTCTGAATACATAAACATGGAACTAAATCTATCCAAAGAGCCTCCTTGTCTTCTCACTATCAGAATCACAAGAACACATCCTTCAACATGCCCATGCATGCACACACAAAATGCCTTACACTCAAAACATTTCAACATCCATTTGCTATTTGATACTAATTTCAGATTTTTTCATGTTGCTTTCTCCGGCTAAGAACAATAAATAACTCTTGCTAGAAAAGTGATTTTAAAAAATTAGAAAGCAGAAATACTTGTATGATGCTACAACTTGAACAAAAATTGTAAGTCCGATTAAAAACTATGACAACTTCAGGAACACAGACCTCTCCCTGAGCTCAGGAATGTTCTGTACTTGAACACTTTAGAAACATGCCATATTTACGTTCAGTACCATAGAAAAATCTGGTAGTGGTAAATCCTTGCAAAATGATAAGGAAGAGAGTTTCATGCAGGCAAGACAAAGTTTCCACGATCAACACACGGCATTCTTCAAGTAGGGACTGTACACACAGGTTTTTCAGAACATGGCTTCTATTTTGGCATAGTAGGAAGCAGATACGTGCCTTTAAATAAAACAACCTGTTAATCATTCATGAATGAACAGTCAACATTTTCAAGAAAGGCTGCAGATACACTATCAGGCCTCTGAACACTTGAACTCAATGCAATGAAAAGCAAACTTAGTATACTTCACAAGGTACTTTTCATTACCAAAATTCGTATCTCAGAGGATACCTTAAATTTTAATATTACCTTATGCAAATGTCTTTTTCCAGATGACAGTATTTGTTTAGGCATTAGCAATTAAAGCAAATGTTAAAAAAAAAAAAGCTCACTGCACTCCAACAAACTAAGACTGCAGTTCTGGGAGAAACAAGGACTACAAATTTCTTCCCTACTCATCACCTAAAAATGCTTTTGATTTTCTGTAATAAGAACATACTACACAT